TCTGCTCGGTTTCGAACCGAGGACCTTTCGCGTGTTAGGCGAACGTGATCACCACTACACTACAGAAACCTCCTTATGTAAGACATGTGCTTTTTCGATAATGGCTCCATCCCATAATCTTTCCTGCAAGCATTGTGACAAGCTTTTTAAATTTCACAAACAACAGATAAGAGCTCATTCGGAATGGCAGTCTGCCTACAGCTCTTTGGTACAATTGCCCTCACCTAATTTCAATAGTCCAAAAACTTTGTTGCGAATTTCAGCACGTATATTAAAAACCCCTTTACTTGTTTCCGCCCAGTTTCGAACCGAGGACCTTTCGCGTGTAAAGCGAACGTGATAACCACTACACTACGGAAACTTAACTTGGAAGACAGTCCGACCTCTTTTAGCGTACGCTTGTTCAAAAGCGACTGAAACGATAGACTGCCCACTGTCCTGAAAATGGCAAAAAGCTGCTATTTTTGTTGGCAGACTAAACATTTTTTATTACTCTACAGGAAACTTCAATGGTCATTTGTTTTGTTTTAGTCCTTTTCTAAAGAATTTACACCGCAAATCGCCCTGCAAGTGTTCTGACCTGCTCAACAGAAAACCACTCAAAAAATGTTAGCAAAGACCATCCACAGTTTCCGCCCAGTTTCGAACTGGGGACCTTTCGCGTGTGAGGCGAACGTGATAACCACTACACTACGGAAACATGCCCTGTAGGTGCAGGCAGAAATCTTCTGGTGCAGGCTTGTTAAAAAGTGTATAAAGGAAAAGTGAGCTGAGCCCTCCTGTTGTGGCAAACAGTTTAAATTTTCTGCGAAAAGCCAATTGCTGTTTCTGCTCGGTTTCGAACCGAGGACCTTTCGCGTGTTAGGCGAACGTGATGACCACTACACTACAGAAACCTCCTTATGTAAGACATGTGCTTTTTCGAAAATGGCTCCATCCCATAATCTTTCCTGCAAGCATTGTGACAAGCTGTTTAAATTCCACAAACAACAGATAAGAGCTCATTCGGAATGGCAGTCTGCCTACAGCTCTTTGGTACAATTGCCCTCACCTAATTTCAATAGTCCAAAAACTTTGTTGCGAATTTCAGCACGTATATTAAAAACCCCTTTACTTGTTTCCGCCCAGTTTCGAACTGAGGACCTTTCGCGTGTAAAGCGAACGTGATAACCACTACACTACGGAAACTTAACTTGGAAGACAGTCCGACCTCTTTTAGCGTACGCTTGTTCAAAAGCGACTGAAACGATAGACTGCCCACTGTCCTGAAAATGGCAAAAAGCTGCTATTTTTGTTGGCAGACTAAACATTTTTTATTACTCTACAGGAAACTTCAATGGTCATTTGTTTTGTTTTAGTCCTTTTCTAAAGAATTTACACCGCAAATCGCCCTGCAAGTGTTCTGACCTGCTCAACAGAAAACCACTCAAAAAATGTTAGCAAAGACCATCCACAGTTTCCGCCCAGTTTCGAACTGGGGACCTTTCGCGTGTGAGGCGAACGTGATAACCACTACACTACGGAAACATGCCCTGTAAGTGCAGGCAGAAATCTTCTGGTGCAGGCTTGTTAAAAAGTGTATAAAGGAAAAGTGAGCTGAGCCCTCCTGTTGTGGCAAACAGTTTAAATTTTCTGCCAAAAGCCAATTGCTGTTTCTGCTCGGTTTCGAACCGAGGACCTTTCGCGTGTTAGGCGAACGTGATCACCACTACACTACAGAAACCTCCTTATGTAAAACATGTGCTTTTTCGAAAATGGCTCCATCCCATAATCTTTCCTGCAAGCATTGTGACAAGCTGTTTAAATTCCACAAACAACAGATAAGAGCTCATTCGGAATGGCAGTCTGCCTACAGCTCTTTGGTACAATTGCCCTCACCTAATTTCAATAGTCCAAAAACTTTGTTGCGAATTTCAGCACGTATATTAAAAACCCCTTTACTTGTTTCCGCCCAGTTTCGAACCGAGGACCTTTCGCGTGTAAAGCGAACGTGATAACCACTACACTACGGAAACTTAACTTGGAAGACAGTCCGACCTCTTTTAGCGTACGCTTGTTCAAAAGCGACTGAAACGATAGACTGCCCACTGTCCTGAAAATGGCAAAAAGCTGCTATTTTTGTTGGCAGACTAAACATTTTTTATTACTCTACAGGAAACTTCAATGGTCATTTGTTTTGTTTTAGTCCTTTTTCTATAGAATTTACACCGCAAATCGCCCTGCAAGTGTTCTGACCTGCTCAACAGAAAACCACTCAAAAAATTTTAGCAAAGACCATCCACAGTTTCCACCCAGTTTCGAACTGGGGACCTTTCGCGTGTGAGGCGAACGTGATAACCACTACACTACGGAAACATGCCCTGTAGGTGCAGGCAGAAATCTTCTGGTGCAGGCTTGTTAAAAAGTGTATAAAGGAAAAGTGAGCTGAGCCCTCCTGTTGTGGCAAACAGTTTAAATTTTCTGCGAAAAGCCAATTGCTGTTTCTGCTCGGTTTCGAACCGAGGACCTTTCGCGTGTTAGGCGAACGTGATGACCACTACACTACAGAAACCTCCTTATGTAAAACATGTGCTTTTTCGAAAATGGCTCCATCCCATAATCTTTCCTGCAAGCATTGTGACAAGCTGTTTAAATTCCACAAACAACAGATAAGAGCTCATTCGGAATGGCAGTCTGCCTACAGCTCTTTGGTACAATTGCCCTCACCTAATTTCAATAGTCCAAAAACTTTGTTGCGAATTTCAGCACGTATATTAAAAACCCCTTTACTTGTTTCCGCCCAGTTTCGAACTGAGGACCTTTCGCGTGTAAAGCGAACGTGATAACCACTACACTACGGAAACTTAACTTGGAAGACAGTCCGACCTCTTTTAGCGTACGCTTGTTCAAAAGCGACTGAAACGATAGACTGCCCACTGTCCTGAAAATGGCAAAAAGCTGCTATTTTTGTTGGCAGACTAAACATTTTTTATTACTCTACAGGAAACTTCAATGGTCATTTGTTTTGTTTTAGTCCTTTTCTAAAGAATTTACACCGCAAATCGCCCTGCAAGTGTTCTGACCTGCTCAACAGAAAACCACTCAAAAAATGTTAGCAAAGACCATCCACAGTTTCCGCCCAGTTTCGAACTGGGGACCTTTCGCGTGTGAGGCGAACGTGATAACCACTACACTACGGAAACATGCCCTGTAAGTGCAGGCAGAAATCTTCTGGTGCAGGCTTGTTAAAAAGTGTATAAAGGAAAAGTGAGCTGAGCCCTCCTGTTGTGGCAAACAGTTTAAATTTTCTGCGAAAAGCCAATTGCTGTTTCTGCTCGGTTTCGAACCGAGGACCTTTCGCGTGTTAGGCGAACGTGATGACCACTACACAACAGATACCTCCTTATGTAAGACATGTGCTTTTTCGAAAATGGCTCCATCCCATAATCTTTCCTGCAAGCATTGTGACAAGCTGTTTAAATTCCACAAACAACAGATAAGAGCTCATTCGGAATGGCAGTCTGCCTACAGCTCTTTGGTACAATTGCCCTCACCTAATTTCAATAGTCCAAAAACTTTGTTGCGAATTTCAGCACGTATATTAAAAACCCCTTTACTTGTTTCCGCCCAGTTTCGAACCGAGGACCTTTCGTGTGTAAAGCGAACGTGATAACCACTACACTACGGAAACTTAACTTGGAAGACAGTCCGACCTCTTTTAGCGTACGCTTGTTCAAAAGCGACTGAAACGATAGACTGCCCACTGTCCTTAAAATGGCAAAAAGCTGCTATTTTTGTTGGCAGACTAAACATTTTTTATTACTCTACAGGAAACTTCAATGGTCATTTGTTTTGTTTTAGTCCTTTTCTAAAGAATTTACACCGCAAATCGCCCTGCAAGTGTTCTGACCTGGGTAACACTTTAGAATACGGTTCCTTCGTTAATGAATAACTACACAAGAACTAATAAGTAACACAATATTAACAATCTAGTAACTATTATTAACTAACAAGAAACTCTGATTAACGAACTAGTAAGTAATAGCGCACAGACGAAAGTGGTAGTTCACTATTAAGTAATCAATAACTACTATTTTTTAATACTTCCCAGAGAACTACTGAAAAAGTTTATTAATAATCTAGTAACTACTATTAACTAAAAGAAACTCTTATTAACGAATTAGTAAGTAATAGCTCACAGATGAAAGTGTTACTAGATACTTCTGTGGGAATTACTAATTATTTGGATTCGTATTATAAAGTGAAGATCCTTGGAACTAACTAGTAATTACTCAAGTGTTACTACATGATCTAATCATGATTTGTGCAAATGTTTGAGATTTTTGGTGAACTTTAGTAACTTTTAGAAAATGTCTTTAGTAACACTTAAGTAATTACTAGTTAGTTCATGATCTTCACTTTATAATACGGATCCAAATAATTAGTAATTCCCACAGAAGTATCTAGTAACACTTTCATCTGTGAGCTATTACTTACTAATTCGTTAATAAGAGTTTATTTTAGTTAATAGTAGTTACTAAATTGTTAATAAACTTTTTCAGTAGTTCTCTGGGAAGTATTAAAAAATAGTAGTTATTGATTACTTAATAGTGAACTACCACTTTCGTCTGTGCGCTATTACTTACTAGTTCGTTAATCAGAGTTTCTTGTTAGTTAATAATACTTACTAGATTGTTAATATTGTGTTACTCATTAGTTCTTGTGTAGTTATTCATTAACGAAGGATCCGTATTCTAAAGTGTTACCCTGACCTGCTCAACAGAAAACCACTCAAAAAATGTTAGCAAAGACCATCCACAGTTTCCGCCCAGTTTCGAACTGGGGACCTTTGGCGCGGCGGCCGAGAATTGTTTAGCTAAACGGCCCTAAACAGTTTCCCATTCATTCTCAATGGTAGTGCTAAACCACTACGGATGCAATATATTTTTGGCCGCTACGAGTTTTGGCGCTGTTCCGAGTTTTTACAGACGCGCGGCTCTTTGGAAACCTTGGATCGCTTTGGACAAACTTCTTTGGAGACATCGACTCACTACCATCATTTACACTTTTTTTTGTATTTATCAAAGGTAAGATATGTTTTTTTTATTAATCTAAAACTAATGGGTTCATGTTCAGTCATATTGGTACTGTAGCTGCTAGCATCGATTGCTTGGTAAGATAACGTGTTATGAAATAAAGTGCCGAATAATTAATTAACATGATCGTTTTAATTATTCATGTTTACTGTTTTCATGTCATGAGTCATGACGTTAAATAATATTGTCTGTCCGTTTCTTCAGCATTACAGTAACTCCCCAGACAGCAAACTGACATTGAATCAACGTGGAAACGACGTCTCTCATGACATTGAAACAACGTTGATTTGCTCATCGAATTAACGTTGAACCAACGTCAGACGCGGCATTCTTCAAAGCTAAATGAAATCGAAAATTGGTTTGCTTTCATAACGTTGAAACAACGCGTTGATTTCAAGTTGATTTTCCGTTAGTTTTGAAAGAATGACGCGTCTGACGTTGGTTCAACGTTAATTCGATGAGCAAAACAATGTCAGATCAACGTTGTTTCAATGTCATATTTCCACGTTGATTCAATGTCAGTTTGCTATCTGGGTCAGCATCGCTAGGTTTATATGGTGGGTGAATACGAGCTAAATAATGATTAGCCTAAACATTCACGTTTTTTAGGTGAACGGTTTTCATATTGTGACGTGAAATAAGCTATGTATAGTATGCATTTACAGTAATGTGATGATAACTCGTCTACACAGGCCTACTGTCTGTCTGACTAATTATACTCTCAGACTGTCATTAAAAACATAAAAATATATATTTTTAAGTATTAAAAAGTATTGTCTTCTTGACCTTTTGAACTACAGTATGTGACTGAACTTTAGAGATCAGATCAGAGATTGAACAAGCCCTTGTGTGATCCATTTCTCAATATACAGTTTTTCTCAATCGATTTGGTGCATTTCTCCAAACTCAGGTAACTGCTCTCAAAACAGTTAGCACAGCAAACTAAACACACTCTTATGTTGGCGAAACAGCTAAGTATTCGGTGCACAATGAAACACAGCATTTTATTCTAGTAATGCATTTATTAAAAATCAATATTAACATCAAAACTAAAAGTGTGTTCTCTGTTGATTTGATAACAAATTCAGCTGAAGATACACAAAGAAATAAATGAAAATACATGTTTTTCATTAAGTTCTTTAATGATGAGTCCATGTGTATTACAATGAGTTGTCACCCCACAAATAAATGAATAAATACAGTTTTTCTCAATCGATTTGGTACATTTCTTCAAACTCAGGTCACTGCTCTCAAAACATTTAACACAGTGATCTGTACACTTCGTAATGGTCCTAAACAGATAGGAAATTCTCCTTCATTTCATACAAATTACAAATCAAAAGCATAATTTTCTCAAAACACTGTGCACAAAATTCCCTAATGATATCACAGCAGTTCATACACCCAACCGAATCTTTAATATATCAGGAAAAACTTTTGCAACTTTTTCATTGGTCTTCACAAGGATCACAAACATTTTTGTATCATTTTCAAAACTCAACAAACAAAACTCTATGAATTGTAAAATAGTCAGTTGCACACCTTATGTCCTCAATTAACCCCGAATTGATATCTGACGAGTTAATAATCCCCTCAACACAGAAAAAGCCAATTTCCCAATTGTTCACACAGCTGTCTTAATTATAACAACTACAAAAGGGGAAGAGAAGAAGAACAAACATGAATGAGGAGAAAATACAATAAAAAGAAGGGAATGAGCAGTGGAAAAGGAAGAGGTGTAAGAGCGAGAGGTGGTGGACAAGGTAGAGGGAAAAGAAGAGGAAGAGAAGATGGAGAAGGAGCTGAGGATGTAGGAGAAAGAAGAGCTGAGGATGTATGAGAAAGAAAAAGAAGAGCTGAGGATGTCAGAGAAAGAAGAGCTGAGGATGTATGAGAAAGAAGAGCTGAGGATGTATGAGAAAGAAAAAGAAGAGCTGAGGATGTCGGAGAAAGAAGAGCTGAGGATGTAGGAGAAAGAAAAGAAGAGCTGAGAATGTCGGAGAAAGAAGAGCTGAGGATGTAGGAGAAAGAAAAGCTGAGGATGTAGGAGAAAGAAAAAGAAGAGCTGAGGATGTCGTAGAAAGAGAAAGAAGGGCTGAGGATGTAGGAAGAGGAGAAGAGGGAGAAATGTGATCGGCCATCATGCTACAGTCAATGTCCCTGGACAACGAGGAGGCAACATCACTCTCTGTGCCACAATTTCTACAACTGGTGTTATGGCACACAATGCTCTCTTTTGACCATTCAACACAGCAAGGCTCCTACATTTTTAAAATCTCCTTAATGAAATCCTCTTTCCGCAGGGTGATCAGGAGCAAATGGTGTGGTGTGAATCAAATTGAGGAAATCTTACCAACAAGAATACAACTAAGTCTTCTTCAAGTGATGGAAGAGGCCTGTGGAGATATTGGGGCACAAACGTGTCTAGGATAGCTACTGCATTCAAGGCTTTTTTTCCTGCGATGCATGACTCGCAGGAAAAAAAAAAACATTTGCTGTGATGTTGATGAAATTCTCTGGCCAGATGTAATTGAGAGGCATGATAAATAAATTGATTCAATGAATGCATTTTTTTAAACCAATGTATTTCTTTGCATAATTTATTTTATTTATTTATTTATTTGTGGGGTGACAACTCATTGTAATACACATGGACTCATCATTAAAGAACTTAATGAAAAACATGTATTTTCATTTACAGTTTTTCTCAATCGATTTGGTACATTTCTCCAAACTCAGGTAACTGCTCTCAAAACAGTTAGCACAGCAAACTAAACACACTCTTATGTTGGCGAAACAGCTAAGTATTCGCTGCACAATGAAACACAGCATTTTATTCTAGTAATGCATTTATTAAAAATCAATATTAACATCAAAACTAAAAGTGTGTTCTCTGTTGATTTGATAACAAATTCAGCTGAAGATACACAAAGAAATAAATGGAAATACATGTTTTTCATTAAGTTCTTTAATGATGAGTCCATGTGTATTACAATGAGTTGTCACCCCACAAAATAAATAAATAAATAAAATAAATTATGCAAATAAATACATTGGTTTAAAAAAATGCATTCATTGAATCAATTTATTTATCATGCCTCTCAATTACATCTGGCCAGAGAATTTCATCAACATCACAGCAAATGTTTTGTTTTTTTTTCCTGCGAGTCATGCATCGCAGGAAAAAATGCCTTGAATGCAGTAGCCATCCTAGACACGTTTGTGCCTCAATATCTCCACAGGCCTCTTCCATCACTTGAAGAAGACTTAGTTGTATTCTTGTTGGTAAGATTTCCTCAATTTGATTCACACCACACCATTTGCTCCTGATCACCCTGCGGAAAGAGGATTTCATTGAGGAGATTTAGAAAATGTAGGAGCCTTGCTGTGTTGAATGGTCAAAAGAGATGCTCTCTTTTGACCATTCAACACAGCAAGGCTCCTACATTTTTAAAAAAGTTGTTTTACACCAGTTGTAGAAATTGTGGCACAGAGAGTGATGTTGCCTCCTCGTTGTCCAGGGACATTGACTGTAGCATGATGGCCGATCACATTTCTCCCTCTTCTCCTCTTTCTACATCCTCAGTCCTTCTTTCTCTTTCTCCGACATCCTCAGCTTTTCTTTCTCCGACATCCTCAGCTCTTCTTTTTCTTTCTCCGACATCCTCAGCTCTTCTTTCTCCGACATCCTCAGCTCTTCTTTCTCCGACATCCTCAGCTCTTCTTTCTCCGACATCCTCAGCTCTTCTTTTTCTTTCTCCTACATCCTCAGCTCTTCTTTCTCCGACATCCTCAGCTCTTCTTTCTCCGACATCCTCAGCTCTTCTTTTTCTTTCTCATACATCCTCAGCTCTTCTTTCTCCGACATCCTCAGCTCTTCTTTTTCTTTCTCCGACATCCTCAGCTCTTCTTTTTCTTTCTCCTACATCCTCAGCTCTTCTTTTTCTTTCTCCTACATCCTAAGCTCTTCTTTCTCCTACATCCTCAGCTCCTTCTCCATCTCCTCTTCCTCTTCTTTTCCCTCTACCCTGTCCACCACCTCTCGCTCTTACACCTCTTCCTTTTCCACTGCTCATTCCCTTCTTTTTATTGTATTTTCTCCTCATTCATGTTTGTTCTTCTTCTCTTCCCCTTTTGTAGTTGTTATAATTAAGACAGCTGTGTGAACAATTGGGAAATTGGCTTTTTCTGTGTTGAGGGGATTATTAACTCGTCAGATATCAATTCGGGGTTTTATTTATTTATTTATTTTTTTTATTTATTTGTTTTATTTGAGCTGCAACCATTCAGCTCAAAAGGAGAGGGCCGAAGCAACAGAGCTTATTAGCGCCCCCCCCCCCCCCCAAATTTCATACAAGACAATTTCACATTTCACAATCGTTCAAGGGAACAAAGTGCAAAACAACAACAAAAAGACAACAAATATCTGGTCCTGATTAAACAACAAGCGACAACAAGAATCTGGTCATGGTAAAAGTACCCCTACTGACAAAACATTTCTTCGTCTCTATACTTTGCAAAGATCTTTTGTTTATATTTGTATTTAAAAAGATTAATATTCGAACTTCTTTTTATAACTATCTCCAAATTATTCCATAATTGTACCCCCTTGACTGTAAGGCTAAAACTTTTCAAAGTTGTACAATGTTTCTGCGTCCTAAAGTTTAATTCATCACGTAATTCATAACAACCAGTACGTTCATGGAACCTTTTTTGTATTTGGCTTGGTAATAATTTGTGCCTTGCTTTGAATAACATCTGTACTGATTGGAACTCAACAATGTCATAAAACTTCATGATCTTAGATTTTAAAAATAGTGGGTTTGTGTGGGCCAAAAACCCTACTTTATGGATTAAGCGAATAACTCTTTTTTGCAACATTACTATTGGTCTTAGTGTGCTTTTATAAGTGTTTCCCCATATCATAGAACAATAATATAAATAAGGCAAGATCAAAGAATTATATAACGTATGCAGTGCTTTAATATTTAAAATGTGCTTTACTTTTGCAATTACAGAAATACTTCTTGATATTTTAGTAGCAATATATTTAATGTGAGATTTCCAGGAAATTCTATCATCTATAATAACTCCAAGAAATTTGATTTCATGCACCCGCTCTATAACAACACCCTCTATCTGGATTGCTTCCTGAGCCTCAGTGTTACTGTTGCCAAATATCATCATTTTACTTTTACTCAAATTTAGTGATAATTTGTTTTGTTTAAACCACATATTAACATGTTTGAGTTCCAAGGTAACTATTTGACACAGTTGTTGTAAATCATTACCCGATGCAAAAATATTTGTATCGTCTGCAAACAAGATAAATCTTAATATTTTTGATGTTTTACAAATATCGTTTATATATATATTAAATAATTTTGGACCCAGAATGGAACCTTGAGGTAAGCCACACACAATTTCTTGACAACTTGACTGATGATCTCCTATTGTCACACATTGTTTTCTATTTTTTAAATAACTGGTAACCCACTGTAATGCTACCCCTCTATTCCCATACTTTTCCAATTTATTAATCAAAATGTCATAATTTATTGTGTCGAATGCTTTACTTAGGTCAATAAATAACCCTATTGCATATTTCTTGTTATCAACCGCATTCGTTATTTCATCAATTACATCAAGGAGAGCATATGAAGTTGAACAATTTTTCCTAAAACCAAACTGATTGTCTGAGAGTAAATTATTTTTTTCAATAAAACTATCGAGTCTAGAATTAAAAACCTTCTCTAGAATTTTTGAAAATTGTGATAAAAGGGAAACAGGCCTGTAATTAGTAAAGAGATACTTATCTCCTGCCTTAAACATAGGAATCACTTTTGCTACTTTCATACTCTCAGGAAATTGGCCAGTTTGCAACGACAAGTTACAGATGTATGTTAACGGCTTACAGATACTTTCAATAACACATTTTAAGGTCTTCATATCCATATCATAGAGGTCTGTCGAGATTTTATTTTTACACCTTCCAACAATGTCCAATATCTCATTTTCCTCAACAGGATTAAGAAACAATGTCTTGGGATTTGTGTCTATTAGCTCATAGTTATAGGACTCAACATTTGCAATTTTTGCAGCAAGATTCGGGCCAACGTCTACAAAGAATTTATTAAATTTATTAACTATTGTGTTCTTATTATTGATAATGTTATCCTCTTCTCTAAAATATTGTGGATAGTTGTTTATTCTAGATTTGTTTGTTATTAAACTATTTAAAATGTTCCATAAACCTTTAGTATTATTCTTATTACTATCTAACAATTTATTGTAATAATCCTGTTTACATTTTCTAATAATGCCTGTTAATTTGTTTTTATATTTCTTATATTTAACCTCCGCTTCTTTTGTTCGATACTTTAAAAAAAATGTGTAAAGTGAATTTTTTTTCTTGCATGCATTCAGCAATCCTTTTGACATCCATGGGTTTTCTATGCCCTTTCTATTTTTACAATATTTTTTTAATGGACAATTTTTATCATATACTTTTTGAAATACTCGTACAAACTCATCATATGCCTTATTAGTGTCATTCTCTCTGTATATAAAACTCCAATCTTGCGTTAATAGTTCCTTTCTAAATGCTTCAATAGTTTTCTCTGTTTTTACCCTTCTAGACCAATACATGGTTTCCTCTTCATTTTTTTGATGAGCATTTTTATGTAACACAAAAACTGGAAGGTGATCACTAATATCATTTATCATTAGTCCGCTGATTACTTTCGAGTTCATTGGAAAAAATATTATCTATTAAAGTAGCACTATGGTTTGTAATTCTACTCGGTTTAGTTATTAGAGGAAATAAACCTATGCTAAATAGAGTATCAATAAATTCGTCCGTCTTTTTATGTTTATTTGGGTTTAACAGATCGATGTTAAGATCACCTCCAACAAACATAAGTTTCTGATTTAAGTTTGAAAAGTGTTCCTCTAACCAATTATTAAACACATCTATATTAGACCCCGGTGTTCTATAAATACAACTAACAATAATATTTTTCTTTTTTGTCCTTACAATTTCAATAGTTAGACATTCAAGTATATCATCCACTACCATAGTCATATTTTCAATAATTTTAAAACCATAATTTAAATCTACAAACATAGCTACACCCCCACCTTGCTTATTTCTTCTGTTCTGACCTATAAACTCATAACCTTCAATACTAAAATCCATTTCTTTATCATTACGTATCCATGTTTCTGTTATCAAAATCACACTGAATTTTGAAAACTGTTTTAAGTAACTCTTTATGTGGTCAAAGTTTGCATAAAGGCTTCTACTATTAAAGTGAATGACAGAGAAGGTATTGACATCCTTAAATGTACAATTGTAATCATCCTCTGTATAATATTGACAGTCATTAACAGATCTCGTAAAGAAGTTATTTTCAGGATCAATGTCAATCTCTGTACACTGTAAATCGTATTGTGAATATGCAATGTCCAGACCATTTAATTTAGTATTTTTCCTTAATGAGAGTTCAAAATCAGAAATTGCTTTAGAAGTCTTGTAGGAGGCCATGAGTAAAAAATTGTTTTTAACATACCAGAAATATGCCGATTATCCTGAAATTTTAAACTTGGTTTGGTGTGCTGGTGCGCCGATGAACTATTAGTTTGTCGTAACGCAGGAAAGCAATATCGCCCCTCTCTCTTGCGGCTTTCAACTCTGGCATCAACTCTTTACGCTTCTTTTTAACCAAGTCCGTATAATCCTCGTTTATGAAAATTTTTGATCCTTTGAGGCGTTTTGCGCGCAGCAAAATAGTTTCTCGATCCTTCCAACGCAGAAGCTTGACGATAATGGGTCTCGGGCGGTCCCTTCCGCCGTCCGGTTTCCCCACGCGGTGGGCCCTTTCCACCTCCACCGTGTGCTGCAGCTGGAGCTTCTCCGTCAACAGTTGTTTCACTATATCCTCCGCGTCGGCCCAAGTCTCCCCCGGCAATTCCTTTACTCCCTCAAAGACCAAGTTGTTTCTGCGGCTCTGCCCTTCCAGGTACTCCATTTTATCGTTGATGATGAGCATACTGTCGCAAACTTTATAAACGTCAGATTGTAATGTATTGTTGCGTTCAGTTAGTTTTGCATTCTCTTCCTTGAGATTGTCCACCTCACCTTGCGTGAACTGTAAGCTTGTTTTGAGATCTTGAATGTCCCTTAACATTGCATCCATACGGGTGTTTGTAGCTTCCATCGTCATTTTTATAAATCCTTTGAAAATCTCCTGTTGCTGCTGAAGTAGTTCCTTGAACATATCCTTTTGTTGATCCATTAGCCCAATGACTCTACTTAGGCTAACGTACTCCTCCTCCATTGCCAAATCTACCTGCTTGTTCTCTATTTTTGACGGTTTCGGCATTGTGCTCTCCTTTAGACCAGATTTTTTATAAACTGCCAATCCGAACTGGGCCTGTTTGCTTCGATTAAAGACACACTTGAGTGTTAAACGCCGAGACTGTCCTCGGCACGTGTTTACAAGCCTCTCTGTGGGACTGATGAATGGCACGGGCGACAGAAACTCTTGTTTACATTGCGTTTCCCCTTCACCATCATTCAGTGTTTGGTCACTGAGAGATCTCAAACTCAATTCCTGGAGGGCCACAGCTCTGCACAGTTTTTGAGGACATAAGGTGTGCAACTGACTATTTTACAATTCATAGAGTTTTGTTTGTTGAGTTTTGAAAATGATACAAAAATGTTTGTGATCTTTGTGAAGACCAATGAAAAAGTTGCAAAAGTTTTTCCTGATATATTAAAGATTCGGTTGGGTGTATGAACTGCTGTGAAATCATTAGGGAATTTTGTGCACAGTGTTTTGAGAAAATTATGCTTTTGATTTGTAATTTGTATGAAATGAAGGAGAATTTACTATCTGTTTAGGACCATTACGAAGTGTACAGATCACTGTGTTAAATGTTTTGAGAGCAGTGACCTGAGTTTGGAGAAATGTACCAAATCGATTGAGAAAAACTGTAATTTTAAATGATCCACAGTTACATAGATTTCTGTTGTGCTCACTGTGTGAAGAGTTTTGCAAAAGTGACCTAAGTATTGAGAAATGTGTAAATTAAATTTAAAATTATTTTATTCTTTCAAGATGCAGAAGAAAATTACGTTCTTCCCAGGGAGAAAATGTGTTGTGTTCCGCAAGGGACCACTCGGATTTCTCCTCCAGGAGCCCTCTAAAGAAGCTAGGCGGATTAAGGACGACCCCACTCAGCAAGACAAGTCTGTGGCCCTGAGGGAAGACCTTGTGCGGCAGAATGCTCTGGCTGTGGTCCGTCAGAGAGGAGGGGATTCCTCAGACAGGATGGAGGTGATGGGAGACTACATCCTCCAGTTTGGGAAATATAAAGGGAAGTCTTTCAGGTGGCTTTTAGAGAACGATGTAGGGTACACTATGTATCTCATCAAGAACCTCAAGAAGGAGGAGGCATTAGGCATCTGTATGTCTGAGGGGCATGGCAAGGACAGCCTACAGTCTTTTGTTAAATATGCTCTTAGTTTTGGAGAGATCCAGTCTCTTCTCACCTATGAGGCCACTGGAGTGGGTGTTGCGGCAGCCTCATCAGAAGATGACCAGCTGGTTGGCTTTGGTTCCCGGGCCAAGAGCACTTGGAAAGAGATATGGGATGGCAGAGCTGATGGCTATGCGGACTTCATCATGAGGAAGAGCTGCGTCCCAGGGACACGCATGTGCAAGTTGCAGCAGTACCTGCGGAAGAGGCAGGTATCTGCCACTGCTTCAACATCTGCTGAGCATGCCTCAAGGGCCCCAGCTAAACCCCTGGGTAGGTTATCCTAATTAACATTTTTGTTTATTTATTTTTTTTTAGATTAAAATAACTATTCATGTATGACAAGTAATAGACTTTAAAAATATTCCTGTATTCATCCATGTTAAAATATACTGTACATATGTGAAAAATGCTTATAATTCATCCTAAATTTGGAAAACGAATTCTTGTCTCTGCCACAGTGATGGATGACGATGAAGAGCTAGAGAAGGCGATGTTGGGCATCTCACCTTCTAAACTACAAGTGCAGAGCTGTAAGTACTCTGATATTACACTGACCAAATGTCAGAATCTATGATGACCTATGGTCTATTTTGTATCTGCTGTCTTCCATTTTTATTTCTCTTTGTTTGTGTGTAACCAGTTGCTGTGCCAGCAGCAGTAGCAGCAGCTGTCACACCCAGAGTGTCACCAGGAGCAAAGAAAGGTGTTTAAAGAAAAGGTTTCAGGGCTGGAGTACGATTCTTTTACATGATGAAATGCCCTCCAAAACTGAACCTTCACTTAACTTGTTATGCTGTTTGTGTTCTGGCCATGTTCCGGCCATGTTCCTCTAACAATATGGTTGAATGCTGTCGTTATAATAACTGTCCTACGGACTATGAATTGATCCTACCATGATGAACTGATTCCAACTACAAGGAGGGTAAATATGCATTTTTTTGTTTTCCATTTATGATGTATTAGAAACAAATTAAGGAGCGTTGGGTACTAACACTTGAATGCATGCTTGTTCATTGAGTTCTTACTAACACCAACACTTGCATATATTGTGCATTCTGAAATGACTGATACAACTGCAAGCATCACCAGTTGATGGTAAAACACTGTTATCAGTTTCATGTAGTCAACTGTTGAGTTAATTTGGGTTACATATAAACAATAATTGGTATATTTACGTTCATGCAGCTCCAGCCTCTCCGGGTCTGAAGAAAAAAACACCTGTGCCCCTACCAGCAGAGCTGACGTTCCTAGTAAAGGAGACAACAGCAGAGACGCAACTCCAAGAGTCAACTCTAGGTTTGTTTCCATTTTAGTGTAGGTATGATACTCAATTACAGATCTGCGTAATGCATAGCAGATATAACTCTGTATCATTTACACAAACATAAGCAAAATTTGTGGTAACACTTTACGTTAAGGGTACATGAATTATCATGAATTCATGTATAAATTAATGCATGAATTATGCATTCATTCATGCATTAATATCTCTTGAATCATCAGGAACTAACACGAGTTGAACGTTTTTCATTCATGACTTCATGAATGAACAACATCTTAATTACACTTTTTTCAATCTTTAACAATCACTTACCCATACTTCAGATTCTTTTTCTAAACTCTTAACACAGATTCACTCCTATCTCACTGCACCTCTCACTTCATCTCTCACTTCATCTCTCACTGCACCTCTCACTGCACCTCTCACTTCATCTCTCACTGCATCTCTCACTGCACCTCTCACTGCATATCTTATTGCACCTCTCACTGCACCTCTCACTTCATCTCTCACTGGATCTCTCACTGGATCTCTCACTGCACCTCTCACTGCATCTCTTATTGCACCTCTCACTTCATCTCTCACTGGATCTCTCACTGCACCTCTCACTGCATCTCTTATTGCACCTCTCACTGCACCTCTCACTGGATCTCTCACTGGATCTCTCACTGCACCTCTCACTTCATCTCTCACTGGATCTCTCACTGGATCTCTCACTGCACCTCTCACTTCATCTCTCACTGGATCTCTCACTGCACCTCTCACTGCATCTCTTATTGCACCTCTCACTGCACCTCTCACTGGATCTCTCACTGGATCTCTCACTGCACCTCTCACTTCATCTCTCACTGGATCTCTCACTGCACCTCTCACTGCACCTCTCACTTCATCTCTCACTGGATCTCTCACTGCATCTCTTATTGCACCTCTCACTGGATCTCTCACTGCTCCTCTCACTTCATCTCTCACTGGATCTCTCACTGCACCTCTCACTGCATCTCTTATTGCACCTCTCACTGCACCTCTCACTGGATCTCTCACTGGATCTCTCACTGCTGTGGGTCAATTATTCAGTTGTTTTGTTTATTATCAGGACATACTAAATGTATTGTTATACAACAAAATCTATCTATAATGTTTTTGGGAGGTATAGCTTGTCTGTTAAGAAAATGTAAGTATTGTGGAAATGTATTCACTGACTGCATATTGTGTGAAAACAACATGAAATGTGTGAATGGTATGGCCACACAAGATTGATGCTGTGCTAATTGTGTTTATAATTTTGAAAATGTGACAACTGTTTGTAAAAATGCTTGTTAGCGACTGAAAAAAAACCTGTAAAACATTAACTAAGATGAGCAAATCATCATGAATTATGATTTATTACACATGACCATGATGCTTTCTTTGTTCACAGTTATACCACCATTAATAGCACATTGTTCATCAGTGTTTCAAAGGGCCTAGTCACCACTTTAACAGAATTTGTGTGCTATGAGCTATGGTATATTATTTGGTCTATTATGGTCTTTTGGTCTATCAAGGTGTCTGTCCAATACAGCATCATTAACTAAGCATTAATCTATTAATGACTTCATCATGTGTGTGGCCCCTTAACTAAAGTGGTGACTAGGTCACTGATCTAGACAAAGAACAAAGAAAACATCATGATCATGCGTAATAAATGATTATTAATGATGATGTGCGTATCTTAGTTAATGTTTTAATTAAGGTGTTGTTCATTCATGAAGTCATGAATGAAAAATATTGAACTTGTGTTAGTTCCTGATGATTCAAGAGATATTAATGCATGAATGAATGGATAATTCATGCAATAATTTATACATGAATTTATGATAATTCATGTACCCTTACCGTAAAGTGTTACCAAATTTGTTCATCACATTATGATACTAATAGCCTGTACAAATGCAAAACATAAAAACTGCACTTCTTTTTAGGACCCCGCACAAGTGCTGCTGGCACCGCACAAGTGCCGCTTGCCTTTGAGGACAGTGGTGAAGAGGGTAAGAAAGAGCATCATGTAGACAACCCTTCCATTTTGTGAACTTGTGATCCAATCTGTAAAGGTTAATGCCCGACGAGTTGTCCATTGTCAGGTATTACAGTATTTCTGAGTTGTTAAAACACTAAAATCCATTTGCAAAACCAAAGTTGCAAGTGTACAAACCACTTTATTGATTGAATCACACAGTTTGCAGAACTTTAAACACTTCTCATGTGGTTAGACACAACTAGCAAATCAGAATCACTGTTTCAGAAAAACTGTAAACACATTGTCATTCTCAAAGCACATGTAGCATTGTGGTGCACTTCAACTCAGAATGGCACAACACAGCCCCAAAAGTGAAACACAAGTAACACACTGTTGTCATCGGTAACACACAATCACTCAAAATTGAACACACCTGTTTCAAATCATTAATGTGTTGCACCTAATCAGTAATGTGAATATAAAGCCATGTCAAATCCAAATGGCATGTGTGATTTTCACAATGGAGGGCATGAGAGAAAGTGGAAGTGGAAGTGGACGTGGACGACGAGGAGGAGGAGGAGGAGGAGGAGGAATAGACAGAAGAGACAACGGAGGAGGAGGAGGAAGAGAAAGAGGAGGAAGAGAGAGAGGAGGAAGAGGGAGAGGAGGAGGAAGAGACAGAGGAGGAGAAGGAGGAATAGACAGAAGAGACAACGGAGGAGGAGGAGGAGGAAGAGAGAGAGGAGGAAGAGGGAGAGGAGGAGGAAGAGATGGAGGAGGAGGAGGAGGAAGAGACGGTGGTGGAGGAGGAGGAGGAAGAAGAGACGGTGGTGGAGGTGGAGGAGGAGGAAGAGACGGAGGAGGAGGAGGAGGAAGAGACGGAGGAGGAGGAGGAAGAGATGGAGGAGGAGGAAGAGACGGTGGTGGAGGAGGAGGAAGAAGAGACGGTGGTGGAGGAGGAGGAGGAAGAAGAGACGGTGGTGGAGGTGGAGGAGGAGGAAGAGACGGAGGAGGAGGAGGAGGAAGAGACGGAGTAGGAGGAGGAAGAGATAGAGGAGGAGGAAGAGGAGGAGGAAGAACAAGAGCCATCATTTCCAATGAAATTAGAGCAACAATCATACACCATGTTCTGGTTCATGGAATGAGTATGAGGGAGGCAGGACTACGTGTTCAACCAAATATAAGCAGGTTCTCTGTGGCCTCCATTGTCAGAACATTCAGAGAAGAGAACCGGTAAGTGTACTATCATTTATGGTCCCTCAAACTTACAGTACAGTATGTGCAGTTGTGGAACGTCTCAGTAAATTACTGTAACCACAAATTGACCTTTTTCTAGCAGTATTACAGTACAACTAATAGTATTACTGTAAAATACTGTATATATTTAATGTATTGTACATATTTGGTGACATTGCATTAGGTCTGTTTGTACAATTCTAACAAGCGGTTTTATTTGCTAGAATTGAAAGACTGCCACATGCCGGTGGAAGGAGAGGTATGTTCTCACAACAGCAGGAGACCATCATTGTCAATATGGTCCTTCAAAATAATCTCATTCGTCTGCGTGAAATAAAACAGCGAGTTGAGGAAGACAACGAGAACTTTGAAGGAATCAACAGTGTGAGTCTCTCCACAATTGACCGTGTCCTGAAACGCAACCTGATAAGTCTCAAACAAGCCTACCGCGTACCATTCGAGAGAAATTCTGAGAGGGTAAAAGAGCTACGATATCAATATGTACAAGTAAGTAATCATGTTCAGAGATAATACAGCACTATTGAGTTTCTGTACATCTTCACTGTTGAATGAAATGCAGCACATGAATACAGAGCCATGAAGCCTGGAATGCTATATCATTTACGTTATATCAAAAATTTACTTATTTTCATTTCTATAGAGAATGTTTCAACTGGATTCCATGGAGAGGCCTCATGAGTGCATCTTCTTGGATGAAGCTGGCTTCAATCTTGCCAAGAGGAGAAGAAGAGGCCGCAACATTATTGGTCAACGAGCCATTGTAGAGTTGCCTGGGCAGCGTGGTGGCAACGTTACCATCAGCAGCTACGGGGTCATTCACCGCCATGTGACTTTGGGACCTTACAACACTGCCCATCTTATTACGTTTCTGTATGCTCTACAGGAAGCATTACTGAGACGTGAACAGAGAGGTGATGAGCAGGCAGAGCATCCCATGTACGTGGTAATCTGGGACAATGTGAACTTTCACCGTGGTCCTAGAATACGTGAGTGGTTTGAAAATAACCCACGTTTTATAAATGTGTGCCTCCCACCATACTCGCCCTTCCTTAATCCCATTGAAGAATTTTTTTCTGCATGGAGGTGGAAGATCTATGACAGAAATCCATATGCACAGGAAAATCTCCTTCAGTCAATGGATGCAGCATGTGACAACATTGGAGTGGAATCAATTCAAGGTTGGATTCGTCATGCTAAAGGATTCTTTCCCCGTTGTTTAGCAAGGGACCGGATTGCCTGTGACGTTGATGAGGTCCTGTGGCCTGACCATGCCCAGAGGCATGATGCTGAGGCAGAATGATTCCGAAACATTGCTACCAATATGCGGCATATATTGTTTGTGACTATATTTGTGTGCAGGATTGTGCAAGTACTTTATAATAAATCATTTTTTCCCCCTACTCTGCCTTGAGTGCAGTGTTTTGCATTTATCTCTGTAGTGTGTAATGACTGCTGTGTAGTGTTTATGCATTAGCTGGATGTGTGTGATATCTGAAAACAGTGTTTGGTTTTGGGTAAAGATAACATAATTCTGAAGCAATTGTTAGATATAGCAAGACAAGTCAAAGGTTTTGACAGTGTAGCTTAAGTTTGGTGATTTGTGTTTAAGGTTTTGAGAAAGCGAGAGAAATTTTCAGAAAATGTGTTTTAGCAACTCAGAAATACTGTAATGGACGACGGCGAGGCGTGAACCGTCCGACACGTAGCAGCCGAAGTCCATTAATACCTAGACAATGGACACTTCGAGGGCATGAACCAGCTTACACCATGGTTACTTGACAAATAACACATTTTAAAACATTAGTTTATATTTTAATTGGTTTTACAATCGCAATCTAAAGTTTTTACAAACATTAACTTGGTTACACCTGACAGTTTATTTAGCAACCGGAGATATTTATAGTCCGCTCAGCTCATAGAACCCTTCAGTTTAGCTAACTTATAAAATATAAAGACGTTTGTTTAGATACAATAAATTGTAGACAATTTTTTGACTGTCTGTTGCTATAGTTACAGCTGATATAGCCAGCGCATTTATTTATTTATTTCGAAAACAGTAAACAATCAGTTTCAGCTTAACTCATTTACTTGTTGTCCTCTATCACTTTTTAATGGATGCAGCCACATAAGCCACGGTATAAATAATGTTAATCAGTTAAAAAAAAATTTTGCCCTAAACATTTTTCTTTTTAAATCCTAGTTGCCTCAGCTCAGCCATCCATTCCTGTTCCTGTTCTCCTGCCTGGGCATGAGAACGACATGAGCAACTGGAGCTGTTCTCAACACCAGAAGCTATGGATTAGGATGGAGCTTCAGGATCTCGGGCTGTGGCCTGGGTCTCGTCCAGTGCGTAACCTAGGGAACGCAATTTCACTGTGGCGTCTTCCACCACAACCTGAGCTTGTCGATATGGTGGCTGCGCTCCCATCTCCCAACTTCTTCCAGCTCCACCCATTTTTCATCTGGAAGCCTGAGAGTCACATCATGGTCAGGTTGAGGAACAGTTACCCCCTGCCATGTCTGCATGGATGTCCTCATCCACAGGTGGTCTCTGCAGGTGTGGGCAGGCCCCGAGTGATTGTTGGTACCAGTGGCCAGTATTACATCTTGTCCTCACGTCTCTGCTGCAAGGCCTGTCGGAGGAACTGGTTTGCTGACAATCCGCGATGGCTTGAGAAGCTGCCCAAGCGGTTTACCAACCTTCTGCCCGCATTCCTGACCTACAAGAAGGCCATTTGCAAGTCTGTAATGGATGAGCTGAGGCGCACTGGCAAGTCACCAACTGATATGGCAAACCAGGTGAATGAGCTCATGCACCTCAAGTATGAGCGTGCTCACCTGGCATACCTGCATGCCATAGAAAGTGTCAGGGGTGCTGAGGCGGGCATACATGGACAGAGGACCATTGGGCAGTTTCTGAGGAAGGAGAACATGCCACGTGCTTTTGGCCATTATGACGACCAAGATGGGTGGAATGGAGTCTCCGTGTCAAGCTTCTATCTAACCGACTGCCTACTAGATGAGTTCAGACGTCAACAGCCAGCCATGACCAAACTCCTCCAGGGCACTTTTGGGCATGTCCTCAGGTCAGACCACACCAGGAAAGTTGCAAGAAAAGTAACGCTGGCATCTGGTGTCATGTCCAGTTATGCCATCATGAATGAGAACTGGCTCATTGTTTCCTGGGTGATGGTTCAGTCTGAAACTGATGGTTCAGTCCTTGGAGCCGATGTACCAGGGAATGGCCAAGAGGTACAGCGATGCTGGAGTGGAAAAGGCAGGCTTCCACTGGATGGACAGGTGAGAACATCCATCTTTTCTCTTACCACTACCATTCAAATAGCCAATGACATGCCTAATAACTAGTGCTGTCAAAAAACAAACAAATTAATCACACCTTTTTTTTCTTAATAATTGTAATTAATAAAAACGAATATTTATTAATCCTTCTTGAAGCTACAAACATTACTCAGTCAAGAGCAGTGAGTGATTTGTTCTTTATTAACATTAATTCACCAAAAAAATCTAAATTGATCTACATTTTTGTAACTTGCTTTTAGGGATTGCTGTGCTCCATTTAAGATCCCAGACTGCATCCCAGGCGAACATCTACACTGGGATGCCTGGAAGACTACCCCTTCCATTGTTGCTTGGGCCACCTCTGGACCGCTGGAGAACACCTGTGCCTCACGGTCACATTTCAATCAAAACATTGTGGTGAAGCTGGACTTGTTCCATTGCCTGAGGCGTTTTTCACGGGAGTGCACCTCTGAGCATCACCCTCTGTTCAGCACTTTCTGCCAGCTCCTCTCTGCAGCCTTCTCTGTGGTGGATCAGGAGGATCTAAAGAGGCTCCAGGATGCCTATAGGTTCTGTGGTATCCATCCAGCCAATCCAACCAAACAACATATACGGGAGCACTGCAGGACCAAAATACCACAACCCACAGAGCTGCTGGACAGAGTGGAGAAAGTCCTTAAGCATCTGCACCAGGCCATGGACCCCAACAGTGTCCCACTCTTCAAGCCATCCATGCTGAAAACTTGGCGTATACAGAGAGTGCACATTCTCCGCGGTTGCCTCAGTGACCCTGAACTCTCTGAGGGCATAATGTACCGGTATGGTGGAACTCTTCAGCTAAACCACATACCCGGTGAAGGCGCCAAAGTCCCAATCTGGATCCCGGTCAGAGGTACGTCACAGCAGGAGGGGTACCACTTCCACCAGGCCCAGTGGATCACTGGGACTCATGTCTCCACTGAATTGTTCCAGGCACAGGGCATGACAGGGGTGGCACGGTGGAACTACCAACGGCTGGTGGACCTTAAGCAGCCAGGTGTCATCCTCCCTGATGTGTTTGACCCAGCTCTAATTGCGGAGTTAAATTTTGCCTCCAAGAGAGTGACTGGGCAGGAGAAGTACCCAGCAATTCATCTCTCTGACAGAGACACCGGCGAGAGGTTCGGCTTAGAGTACACAGAGCCAGGCTGCCGTCCAGTTCCTTTGGATTGGGACAAACACCGAACCCAAAAGAGAGACGAACCAGCTGCTCTTGTGCCTCTGCCGCCTGTGCAGACAAGTGGTCCTGCCCAAGCCCAGACTCCAGATGCAGCACCCGCCTCCAGCTGGACACTGATTTCCGGCACAGCATCCCCTAGACCGGCACCACCCATCGGTCGTTCGCTCTCTGCTGGTGCACTGCTAAAGCAGGAGATGACGTCAGAAGACGACCAGGTACCTCCAGTGGCGATGGGTAAGTAAAAATAATCTTTTTAGACATTAAGTTTTGCATTATGTTTTTAATGTAACTTCATGATCATCTGATGAACTGTTATTGCTTTATTGTATTTCAGAAATCTCACATGCCATGCCCCTCCCACTGAGGTCCTCGCCGAGAACCCATAAAGACGGGTGGACGGGTTTTTGTGTTGGACCACACACGCTGGACGCCAACCATGAAAGAAGCTATCGACAGCTTGCTGCAGAAGTACCATGGGGAAAAGGACATTATGAAGCTTGTGGATCGAGACTATGCTCAAATGGTCCATGAGTCTGCCACAGATCCCAATAGCTTGATGCACCCCACAACCAAGCTGCACATATCCCGCTATGTGAAGCACTTGGCAAAACTCCTCAACACCAGCTCTTCTTTGAACACAAGCCAGGAAAAACTTCTGGAGACTCAGCAGCTGTGGCACTCTTTAACAAAGGGGAGTGAGACGGCTAGTGTTCCTGTGGTCACCATGGAGCCGGCTATTGTGAACCCACCTGCACCTGCCCTGTCCACACCTCTGATACAAGACTCCATTGAGAAGATTGTAGAGGTCATCTTGGAGAGGCAAAAGCAACAGCAACAGCAGCAGCCAGAGCAAAAGAAAAGGCAGACAAAGAAGTGTCTAGCTTGTGGACAGCCCAAGTCTCGATATGAGACTGATGGATCCTCTATCCACTTTTTCCACCAGCAAGGGCCTGTGCGCTACTTCTATTGTTCAAAGAAGGTGCATCAAAGTTATGCTGCTGAGGGACTCTCTAACCCCAAAATGCCTTTTGGAGAATTTGCACAGACAGAATTCTTTCAGAGGGAGCTGGAGGCCACCAAGAAACGGGTAGAGGAGAAGACTGAGAAAAAGAGGAAAAGGTCAGACTCCCAGCAAACAGGCCGCCGGTGCAGATTCTGCCACATGGACCTGAAACAGGGGCCGAACAGCCCACACATCCATACGGGCTTCCCTGGTGTGGCAGGGAAATACATCTACTGCCCATCTAAAGTGTATTCTCTATACAGAGATAAAGGCATGGCCAAGGAGATGAACTGGAATGAATTTCAGCAGTCTTCTTACTATGAGACAGAGAGGCAGAGATGGGTGGATGAAAGGAAAAAATAATTCACATGTAATTATTACATGTAAACCATTTATTTTAGATGTGTATTTGTATGTTCTGTAGGTTTTCTAGGCTTCTGTATAGATGCAAATATATTCTGAATAGATGTAAATATAAAAAATGTACCCTAATTTCCCTGAGTTTTAGTTTAATAAAACATTGATTTTAAGTAAAGAACTTGTTTCACTTGATTTAATCTTCAAACACTAGTCAACTCACTTGACTATAGGTTAAATGGGTTATTTGTAATTTACTGACAATCAGATTGCAGCATTTTTGCCCACTGTCCATCGTACTAAATTTAACAGAGTATCAGACATTAATAATACTATAGTAATAGTAATATAGTAATAGTAATACTATAATATGAGCCTTCCTCTAATACAGACATTTCAGGAAGAACTGATGTACATTTTAACCTGCCTTTCATTTGAAATTTTACTTTATAATAACAGCAGTCTGTTGTTTAGACTTTATAATAACTGCATGCTATTAATCATTTGTTAAGCATGAGTAAGCAGTCAATTCATCATTTATAAAGCTTTAATATACATTAATAAGCAGTTTATAAATGCAGCTAAATGATTTGTTTCTTAATTTATAAGCATATCTATAATGTGTTTAATAATTGTATTTTCTACATTTACAGTAAATGATTTACTTTACTTTGTTAATGATCAATTAATCATTTCTAAATGAAGTATAGCATTATTTACAAACCATTTATTTAAGAGTTGTCAGTGATTCATAAGATCACTTAGAAAGTGTAAGTAAATGTAGTAAATACAGGTAGTTATAAAGCATTTAGTTGTGGTCAGTTAACTATTTTGTGAGCTCACCTAAAATGAGGACTATTCATGCCTTGTAAAGCATTAATAAAGGAGATTTAAAGGCGCATCAATCTAGAAACAGTCAAATGTAACAAACACAACTCGCTGTGTCTGTACAGAACAGACATATATAACAGCCTTTAAATCTCCTTTATAAATGAAGGCATGAATAGTCCTCACTTTAGATGAGTTCACTTTATAACAACCCGAATTAACCCTGAATTACAGCTTAAATAGATGTTAATAAAGCACTTATTAACACACTAACAATCTCTATAGGTCTGAATAATCAGATTTATTTATGTACATTTAAATAGTTTATTTATCATTTACGTATACGTTCCAAGTAATCTTATGAACTATTGACAACTCTTAGATAACTGGTTTATAAAAAATGCAATTCTTCATTTAGAAATGATAAATTATTCATTAATAAAGGATGAAAAAACTATTATTAAACAAATTATAGATACACTTTTAAATCAAGAAGAAAGCATTTAGAGCTCTTTTCATAAACTGCTTACTAAGGTCTATTAATGCTTTATGAATGATGAATTAACTGTTTACTAATGATTATTAGCGTGTAGTTATTATAAAGTGTTATTGAAATGGGTAATAATGGGTAATAACTAGTGCAGCATTTCAGTCCCATGGACAGGGAGGGAAAATTTCAGCACCATGGACAGCAGGGTTGAAATGCTACAATTTGATTGGCTGTCAGTGTATTACAACTATCCGCGGCTGGCCCCCGCGTGGCAGGCGAGAATTCTACCACTGAACCACCAATGCTCGACTACCTCAAACAGACACGTCCTTGAGTGATCGCTAAGAACAGGTAGGGAGGTTATGCTTTATTGGTTGCATAAGAGATGGAAGATAAGGACCACTTGTTGATCTTGAGTTAGCAGAAGTTACATACAAAAGCTTTAAAGAACCAGACCGCTGGGACTTCTGAACTAACTTTCTGCATTGGCCGGGAATCGGACCCGGGTCTCCCGCGTGGGAGGCGAGAATTCTACCACTGAACCACCAATGCTCGACAACCTCAAACAGACACGTCCTTGAGTGATCGCTAAGAACAGCTAGTGAGGTTACGCTTCATGGGTTGCATAAGAGATAAAAGATAAGGAACACTTGTTGATCTTGAGTTAGCAGAAGTTCCATACAAAAGCTTTAAAGAACCAGACCGCTGGGACTTCTGAACTAACTTTCTGCATTGGCCGGGAATCGGACCCGGGTCTCCCGCGTGGGAGGCGAGAATTCTACCACTGAACCACCAATGCTCGACAACCTCAAACAGACACGTCCTTGAGTGATCGCTAAGAACAGCTAGTGAGGTTACGCTTCATGGGTTGCATAAGAGATAAAAGATAAGGAACACTTGTTGATCTTGAGTTAGCAGAAGTTCCATACAAAAGCTTTAAAGAACCAGACCGCTGGGACTTCTGAACTAACTTTCTGCATTGGCCGGGAATCAGACCCGGGTCTCCCGCGTGGGAGGTCGAGAATTCTACCACTGAACCACCAATGCTCGTCTACCTCAAACAGACATGTCCTTGAGTGATCGCTAAGAACAGGTAGGGAGGTTATGCTTTATTGGTTGCATAAGAGATGGAAGATAAGGAACACTTGTTGATCTTGAGTTAGCAGAAGTTACATACAAAAGCTTTAAAGAACCAGACCGCTGGGACTTCTGAACTAACTTTCTGCATTGGCCGGGAATCGGACCCGGGTCTCCCGCGTGGCAGGCGAGAATTCTACCACTGAACCACCAATGCTCGACAACCGCAAACAGACATGTCCTTGAGTGATCGCTAAGAACAGGTAGGGAGGTTATGCTTCATGGGTTGCATAAGAGATAAAAGATAAGGAACACTTGTTGATCTTGAGTTAGCAGAAGTTCCATACAAAAGCTTTAAAGAACCAGACCGCTGGGACTTCAAAATTACCTTTTTGCATTGGCCGGGAATCGGACCCGGGTCTCCCGCGTGGCAGGCGAGAATTCTACCACTGAACCACCAATGCTCAACTACCTCAAACAGACATGTCCTTGAGTGATCGCTAAGAACAGGTAGGGAGGTTATGCTTTATTGGTTGCATAAGAGATGGAAGATAAGGACCACTTGTTGATCTTGAGTTAGCAGAAGTTACATACAAAAGCTTTAAAGAACCAGACCGCTGGGACTTCTGAACTAACTTTCTGCATTGGCCGGGAATCGGACCCGGGTCTCCCGCGTGGGAGGCGAGAATTCTACCACTGAACCACCAATGCTCGACAACCTCAAACAGACACGTCCTTGAGTGATCGCTAAGAACAGCTAGTGAGGTTACGCTTCATGGGTTGCATAAGAGATGGAAGATAAGGAACACTTGTTGATCTTGAGTTAGCAGAAGTTACATACAAAAGCTTTAAAGAACCAGACCGCTGGGACTTCTGAACTAACTTTCTGCATTGGCCGGGAATCGGACCCGGGTCTCCCGCGTGGCAGGCGAGAATTCTACCACTGAACCACCAATGCTTGACAACCGCAAACAGACATGTCCTTGAGTGATCGCTAAGAACAGGTAGGGAGGTTATGCTTCATGGGTTGCATAAGAGATAAAAGATAAGGAACACTTGTTGATCTTGAGTTAGCAGAAGTTCCATACAAAAGCTTTAAAGAACCAGACCGCTGGGACTTCAAAATTATCTTTTTGCATTGGCCGGGAATCGGACCCGGGTCTCCCGCGTGGCAGGCGAGAATTCTACCACTGAACCACCAATGCTCGACTACCTCAAACAGACATGTCCTTGAGTGATCGCTAAGAACAGGTAGGGAGGTTATGCTTTATTGGTTGCATAAGAGATGGAAGATAAGGACCACTTGTTGATCTTGAGTTAGCAGAAGTTACATACAAAAGCTTTAAAGAACCAGACCGCTGGGACTTCTGAACTAACTTTCTGCATTGGCCGGGAATCGGACCCGGGTCTCCCGCGTGGGAGGCGAGAATTCTACCACTGAACCACCAATGCTCGACAACCTCAAACAGACATGTCCTTGAGTGATCGCTAAGAACAGGTAGGGAGGTTATGCTTCATGGGTTGCATAAGAGATGGAAGATAAGGAACACTTGTTGATCTTGAGTTAGCAGAAGTTACATACAAAAGCTTTAAAGAACCAGACCGCTGGGACTTCTGAACTAACTTTCTGCATTGGCCGGGAATCGGACCCGGGTCTCCCGCGTGGCAGGCGAGAATTCTACCACTGAACCACCAATGCTCGACAACCTCAAACAGACATGTCCTTGAGTGATCGCTAAGAACAGGTAGGGAGGTTATGCTTCATGGGTTGCATAAGAGATAAAAGATAAGGAACACTTGTTGATCTTGAGTTAGCAGAAGTTCCATACAAAAGCTTTAAAGAACCAGACCGCTGGGACTTCAAAATTATCTTTTTGCATTGGCCGGGAATCGGACCCGGGTCTCCCGCGTGGCAGGCGAGAATTCTACCACTGAACCACCAATGCTCGACTACCTCAAACAGACATGTCCTTGAGTGATCGCTAAGAACAGGTAGGGAGGTTATGCTTTATTGGTTGCATAAGAGATGGAAGATAAGGACCACTTGTTGATCTTGAGTTAGCAGAAGTTACATACAAAAGCTTTAAAGAACCAGACCGCTGGGACTTCTGAACTAACTTTCTGCATTGGCCGGGAATCGGACCCGGGTCTCCCGCGTGGCAGGCGAGAATTCTACCACTGAACCACCAATGCTCGACAACCTCAAACAGACACGTCCTTGAGTGATCGCTAAGAACAGCTAGTGAGGTTACGCTTCATGGGTTGCATAAGAGATAAAAGATAAGGAACACTTGTTGATCTTGAGTTGGCAGAAGTTACATACAAAAGCTTTAAAAAACCAGACCGCTGGGACTTCAAAATTATCTTTTTGCATTGGCCGGGAATCGGACCCGGGTCTCCCGCGTGGCAGGCGAGAATTCTACCACTGAACCACCAATGCTCGACTACCTCAAACAGACATGTCCTTGAGTGATCGCTAAGAACAGGTAGGGAGGTTATGCTTTATTGGTTGCATAAGAGATGGAAGATAAGGACCACTTGTTGATCTTGAGTTAGCAGAAGTTACATACAAAAGCTTTAAAGAACCAGACCGCTGGGACTTCTGAACTAA